AGTTAAATTTTGTCAATCGGCCTCGTAAAGCGGAAGATATAGAACTGTCGACCTTTTTTTTTTTTTTTTTTTTTTTTTTTTTTGCGCAGTCTACATGACACCACAGTTTCTACACACCAATATTTAGTCATTAAATAATATTTTGGAGTATTTCAGTTCAAGTACTGTATGGATTACAGTTCTAGACACACTGTATGAAAGAAAGACTAGAATCTAAAACAATACACACAAAATGCAATTTACTTTGAACTGTAAAAAACAAAGTATTTTGATTATCTGCTTTCACACGTTAACTCATTGGTGATTTTGTGAATCAGCAAAAACTGTTTGGTTAATTTTACAGCTCACAGGTAGTTGTTCACAAATAATAAATAGTAAAAAAAAAAGTACTTTATAAAAAATAAGAAATTTAAAAAGAAAAATTTTGATGGCCAATGTTGCAAACAATGGATAATATTCGGTAAAATTACAGTTAAATATAACGTGTATAAATCTACATGCATGATATGCACTTGTGTAATTTGGCTATTCTTGTGTGCAAACTCAAAAATACACCTAAAACATAGAAATTTTCAAAGTATTAAAACTCGGATTTCAGATTATAAAACAAAACCAAAAGCAGTATGACCAGGTTATAAGGCACTTCATGTTAATTAATCCATTTTTATGACCTAATTCTATTTTCTAATTTCTTCCATTTCTATCCCTCACCAGGCAGCAATTAACATCTATTTAAAATGTGGGATTTGAATATTTTAGATATAGAACTTTTGGCAGTGATGTTTGGACATTAACTTTCTACTGCACAGCTCTGCCAGTAAGCATTCTAGCATTAACTTTCTACTGCACAGCTCTGCCAGTAAGCATTCTAGCATTAACTATTTACTACCTGAAGGTGAAACATGGCGTTAAATGTGAGCCAGCTTAGTTAGGCCAAATGTGTGTAGTATGCAGCTACAATCCCTTTTTACATTGTAAATTCAACTTTACATTATTTTCATACCCAAAAGTGGAGACGTTTTGAATGTTTAAAAGAACTGTGCTATCTGTTAAATTCAAGTTTAAGTAAAAAAAAAAAACTTATTTAAAACCTTCACATGACTTTGTTGTACATTTTCACATAACTCACTTGGCAGTCTAACAGGGTCTGAATGACTGAGTTAATATACACAGAGTTAATATAACAGTTAAAATTTCAATGTTCTGACACTACTCATTTTTTAGTTATGTGAGATACATACATACATACATACATATGCGCAGACGCCACAAAAAATCTCTTCTGAGAAAATTCATTGAAATCAATTTTATAATTTGTTTGGGGGATGGGAGTCCTTTATTCTATCCTTATGTAGAGATGTCAGGCAAAAACATTGCTAAATTGCATTCGATAGCAATCAAAATGGATATTTTCATTGAAATATGATTCCTGGAATTTTTCAGGATTACAATACTTCCTTTACATTAAAAGCATGACAATCATTGTAAAATTTAAGGGTCAAGGGTGGTTACAATTTCTTATCAATGTAAGTTTTGTTAGTTCACTTTTAGCTTTAAAAATCAGTTTGCTAATAACCTAAATGTGATTTTATTTACAAAAATTAAATAATATTGTAATCTTCATACATAATACTTGTTTTCTTTCTTGCATAAACACATTTGCTACTTTTGTGTGAAAACTGGTGTTAGCAAACTTTACTTTTTCCAGCTTTGTTGATTTTACTGCCGCAACTTTTGGAAGCCAGTATATTTACCATTCCTGCAGTAAACACAACATTTTAAATTTAAGCAGCAATTCATTTTAACTTTAAATATATTCAAGAACAGAGTGGGGAAGAACAAACAACAGCTAACTAGTAGATCCACATGAATATATCATCACAGAACTAAGCACCAATGTCAAAAAAATTTAGCACAGAAGCTACCCCATCATGGTCAAATACACAAATGCCGACATTTTTCCACATCTGCTTCACTTTATCACTTTTAATAATTTACTTTAACCAGCATGTGATACAATATTGCCATTTACGCTATGATGTAGTTGCTGTGAAATAAAATAAATCAGAATAATTTCTTAGTCTTAAATTTTACTTTTAAATTGTGCAACTGCTGCTACAACAGCAAATGTCAACACTAATAACTCGTAAGAAGCAAACTGAACATACCAAAAAACTAATGTGCATAAACTAGAGTATAAAACATTATATAGCTATATATTTTTTTAGAATGGGTTACAGCATTACTTACGTCAAATTAATTCTTTAATGTTCTACTGCATTTTCTCAGAAAATCTAGTTCTTATCTATTGTTTCTTGCAATCTTCCTAAATGCAATTGTATTCAATTTTTTACAATTTAGGCAAAAAGCAGAATTTTTTTAGCTCTTTTAGACAGAAACAGAAAGCAGTTGTCTTGTCACTGTGAAAAGGAAAGAAATAGCATGTCATTATCGCAGAGTTGCTAGTTGGTTTATATTATACTGTAGTGTTAAGTTATGTGTGATTCTTTTATTATCAGCAGGTCTAGAAACTGAATTGTGTTATTTTTTGTTTACAGTGAACTGTAGATTAGGGAATTGAATACAATGAAATTAATACCACCACTGTAAAATAATTAAGAAAAAAATTAAACTTTCATGAGTATTAAATTTTCATGAAAATTAGTGCAATTAATCCATTTTCATTTCACTTTTCACTCTGAAAATGCAACCTGGATAGCGTGTTATAACAACCCCACAATCCTATACTGTAGCAGCTAGTCTGTAAAATTTATTTAATCAAATTTAAAACATTTAACAACTAATTCAAGCTAATTTAGAATTAGACCAATAATACAAACTGCACAAATGTGATGAGTTATCACACCCTTCTAGATCTCTTAATTCCTATGGCACACTCAATAAAAATTTTCTTATACATAAATATTCTCACAAAGCACTCACATTTTAACTAAGCAAAATTATTAAAGATATTACTCTTTCAAGTGTATAACAAAACTAAAAAAAGATACAACAAAATGTATAACAAAACTGAAATGAATATCACAAATATAAAATAAGACATCTTCCAGAGATTTAACTTTTATCATTTTTTAATCATTTATACTGACTTTTTCCTTTAAATTGTTGCACAGGAGATTTAGGTGACATGGTTTTAATTAAGAGAAGATGAACTGTTTAGGATGATTTTAATAAAATTAAATTAGTATAAATAAAAACATATATATAAAATAATAATTTTTATAATAAACACAGTCCTTGCTTTATATACCACATGGACTTCTAATTATGCATACTTTTAATGCATATAATTTTTACATTACCCTGATTTACATAAATTTCTACCACTGACATCACACATAGACTAATTAATAAAAACATCAGAAGAAAGATAATTTAGAACATTTTTGAAGAGCAAATATTTCCCTTCTTTTATTTACATCACTATAATATAAAAAATACTTTTCAACTGATATTAATATTTCAAATACTAATACTTCAAATCAGGGCTGTGGAGTCGGTAGGGAAAAAGACTCCGACAGCCTCATATATATATGTAACATATACACATGGGTTACAGCTTATTTTTTTAATGTGAAAGTAATAGATGTTACATGAAAAAAAAAATGGCATAGCAAATTATTTATATAAATTAGCATTTATTATGAAATGGAAAAACTGGCATTAGTTATTTCTAAGAAACAGTACAGCTTCGGCAATATCTTCTTTGTTGGAGGGCCATAGATCCGATTTGATAAACTTCAGAGCTAAGAACAGTCTTTCCACACTAACTTGAGTAGGAAGAAGAGTTGTTACTGTTAACGGCTACTTACTTTTCAGGATAGATTTCTATAAGTTCTAAAAGAGGTGTCTTGCAAGCACAATCATATTTCTCTATTTCTTCAAAGGCTGTGTAGAAATCTTGTTTGTATTTTTTCATTTTTATATCTAAAGGCTCTTGGTTCTTTATTTTCATTTGCTTTGCCTTAGGCTTTTCAATATTATTCAAAAATATTTCTCAAAACCTAATTCATCATTAGAAGACGATGATAGAGACTCAATAGCAATGTCTGCAGTTTGACTGTCCTGATTTGAATTCTCCAATTGTTCTGAGAATAATTTCATTTTTAATGAAAGTTCATAGACGGCTTTATTTGCCTTTTTAATTTGTTCGTTATCCAAGATAATTCGGTGTTACGGATCTACGTACATTGAATCCAGCAAGATCGCATTGTCTAGCAAACTAGTTTCTCTTTTCTTCATTGAAGAAATGATTCCTTCTGCAATAAGCCCTTCATTTCAGAAAGAGCAAACATCCCATTCTTCCATTCTCGCCTCCTGTCAATTTTTCAGTTTGCAGCTTTTTTGTGGCTATATACGGTGTAGAAAAAAAAAAAAAAAAAAAAAAAAAGAGTTTCAATTCTGCAAGATCATTACACAATCTTTCTGTTGGTGAAATATTAGGGTTATCTACATCTTCTAAAAAAGTTCTTATTTTTCTAAAAACCTTTTTATCATCAAATATGCACTTCCTTATTGTGTTGCTTGATCAATAACTGCTACTTTTCTTGCTCACTTCCTCAGAATGGCATCAATTTTGGGAGTTCTTGCTGCTATTGCTGCTGACCTAAAGTTACCAGTGAGATTTATAACTAAATGAAATAACTAAATAAATCAGTTTAATCGCTAATGGCAAATATCACATCCATGCTCCTTCCATATATTTATTTATTTATATGTCAATAAAATAGAAAATAGCTATTTATTAATGTGTACATAAATAAAAATAATAACTCAACTTGTCATTAATTTTTTTCTATTCATTTTAATTTCATTTCAAATTCAAACTGTCCAACAAAAACTGGAGTCGGAGTCGACCTGTTTTTAGCAACTCCACCTCAGACTCCTTTTACTCCCAAATGTGCCTGAGTCTGACTCCGACTCCACAGCTCTGCTTCAAATAATACTCAAATAAAATAATACTCTTCAAATATACTAACTGTATCCCAATATTCAGGGTGAAGAGATGGTTCTTCAGCTTGAGTTATCTGTTCCATTTTGGGTTCAGCAAATAAAAAATGCCATTTTATCCATTCGAGCAATTTATATAAAACTCTGGTACCTAAAAATAGAAATAAGGAAAAACAAATTATGACACAAAGGGCTAGCAATAATGACAACAGGAAAAAGCAGAACAATAAAATTCCGTCCTTACCAGAATGAGTCTCAATAATCAATGACTGTAATAAATGCCAGAGGAGCTCAATGTCAGAGAACATTTGAAGCTGAAAATCAGGAGGAAAAAAACATATAATATATATATACACACACAAATACAGACATACAATACATAGATTCAATTATAAAAAATATGCATAATACTCCTTTCACTTGCATTAAGGAATTAAGAGAAGTGGTAGATATATAAGAACATTTCATTGTTAAATATATAGATAAAGCTACTGAAACTAGTGCAACTGTATGCAAAAAAATTCATTGTGATTTAATAAAACATGAAACAATAAATAATATATACAGTACCATTAATGATATGGGAATGACAGAAATTAAATTCAGACTAAGATATCATAAGTAAATTAACTTTGATATGGAGAAAATTAATTATTCAAATGTAATGATAGAATCCAGATTTCATAAGAAAACTACTGGGTTTGGATTAATCACTTATGGTGACAATACATACATCAGTTGTGTTAGATCAAGCTGTTTGAATGTTTTATTTTTTATACAATCAAAAAATATAGTAACCACAGCATCATTTGTAATAGTAGTCAGGTCCAAAAATTAAAGAAAAATAGGAGGTTTTTGTTGCTGTATGATCTTTAAATTTTGATTTGTTTATATTCATGAATCTCAGTAAAAAGAAATGAGCACCAATAATGAGTTAAATGAGCTGCTTAGTGTAGATAATTTTATAAAAACATTGAAATTAGCTGACAAAGAAAATTATATTTTGTGTTCCAGTAATTTACTAAAACAAATTATCCCAAGTAATTGAACACTTTTATTCTATCAGATGTTTTGTTATTTGGTATATATTAACTTATAATTTTAATTATTTTACGTTATTTTCTTTAATGATATAAATATCTAAAAGAATTCAAGTTCATGTTAACAGAAACTATAATAAGTAATTATACAAATTCAGCTAATAGAAACTGCTTAAATATACCGTATTTGACGGCATATAAGACGCACCCTTATTTAGAAGGCCACACACATGTAGATGTAGAAAAAGTTATGTGTGTCTAGATCTTTATCCGGGCTAAAAATAGCATTCAGTATTGAAAGTTAACCTGTGTCCTTCACGTATAAGACACAGGTAACTTTTTTGAGACCAAATTTAGGGAAAAAAAAGTACGTCTTATATGCCGTCAAATACGGTAGTTCTTCATGATCAGATTCAAAAAGTCCTGCCACTCAGAGAGCTACAGCTACGGAAAAAAGACCATCTAAGTAACAGTAAATTTAAATTCACATTACTAGGAATCAAAAGGAAGCATAAATGATAACACTTTATCCAAAGAATTTAAAATGTGCAAATACTGATGCTTCTAATAAAAAAGTAAATTTTTTGGACCTTCTGACTGGCCAGGCCATATACAGGGTGATTCTAAATTGTTTTTGCAAATTAAGAATACCCATCCAGACGAGCAATAACTTAGAACATAGGACCCTATGTTCTACGTTATTGCTCATTGTCATTTTCTCATTCCACTCCGACAGGCAGAAAAGAGGAAAGTAGAAATGCATCGAAAAAGAACAAGGAGACTATACCCTAAGACTATCAAGAATTAACTGTATGCAAATTTGCACTGAGAAGAAGCAGCATTTTGTGCTTAGTTTGCACCGGAGAAAGTCAATCAGAGCAAACAGTGTCCTTGAAAACAGCATAACATCATCACTTCAAGTATTACCTTGACAACATCGTCTAAACTATTCATGAATGCTATGGTGGAGTATACGTATTAATTATTAGCAGATATTCACCTCACATAAGCTGAAGCAAATAGGAATGAACGCAAAGCATGAAGATTGTATGAACAGCGGTTTCCAAGTCATCAAACCTTTTCCAGTGTTGATCGAAGACTGCAAGAAACTGGTTCTTTTGCCATCTCAAAAAGCAATGCAGGACGTTCGTGGTAAGCACGAACGCCAGAAATTAGAAAAGTGAGTTTTAACTAGATTTGAAGTAGCTCTTTCCACAAGTACGCAAGCAGAGACATGCGAAATGGGTATTTCTCAGCCAACGGTGTGGCATATTTTACACGAGGAACACATGCACTCCTACCATGTGCAAAAAGCACAATCTTTAAACACAGATGATTATCTCTGCCAGGCAGACTTTGCGCAGCAGATGCTTGGAATTAGGAATAATGATCCACAAATTCCTGCATTAATATTATTAAGTGATGAGGTAACATTCATCAATGAAGGCATTTTCATTGTGCACAATCAGCAGGTTTGCTCTCACAGCAATCCCCACTGCCCTACCCCTCACAAACAACAGCAGAAATTTTCCATGAATGTTTGGTCAGGTATCCTATCCTGCCAGGCCTGATTACCTGGTAGCCTTTACATCATGCCAGACCATTTGACCGATGCAACATACCGTATTTTCTTCGAACAAAGCGCTTTCCAGTTTATTGCAGGCTTTTCCACTCCCCATCCAAAGAAACATAGTTTACACACAATGCAGCCTCAGCAAACTTTTCCGTCACGGTCCGTAATTTTTTTTTAATGCCACATATCCAGCACAATGGATCGAACATGGAAGACTTGTAGCTTGGCCTCCTCGCTTAACGGACTGAAGTTTTTCTTCTGGAGGCACATGAAATATTTAATGCGCGAGACGTGTCTGGACTCGGCTGAAAATCTGGTGGCGAGAACCACTGTTGTTGCGGATAAAATTAATACGACACCAGGAATCTTTGAGAGGGTGCGCCAGTTGTTCCTTCGCCGATGTCAACTGTGCAACGACATGCGTGGTCAGCATTTTGAGTATTTTCTGCGAGTTTTTCACTAAATAATAAACTGATTATGCAACTTTTGGTCTTGTTCATTCACTTTCCCAATGTTGTTCTAAGTTCAGGTAGGAATTCTAATATTCCTCTTTTCTGCCTGTCAGAATGAAATGCGACCCTATGTTCTATGGTAATTATTGCTCATCTGGATGAGTACTATCATCCCTCTTAGTTTGTAAAAACAATTTAAAATCAACCTGCATATATCCAAATTATTTCTGATAATGTCTTGAAGAAAATATATACACATACATAAGTGCATCTTGAAATATGTCCAAGAAATCAAGGCAATATAGCAAAAGTAAATAAATTCCAGTATAAAGTACCAGGATCATTTTGGCATTAAAATCACAAACTCATGGCAGTTTTGAGAATGTTGGTGCAAAATCAATGCCTGGCTGATAGGTTAAACAGAGATAAACAACGGCAATTTCTTAACATGACAAAAAAATGGCAAATTTTAATTTTCTAATAAGCAAATATCAAAATTGCAGTACACATTCACATGCTTCTTAACATAATTAATGAAGAATTAAAAGCATTCATACTGAGGAATATGACAAAAAATTATTTACTCACACATACTTCACATAATTTTGAAGTTGGTTGCTACCTGGCACCTGGAGTACTTAGAGCTGATTCAGACAATAAATTATGATTATTGTACCATTTTTAAGGTCATTTTAGTGATAAAAGGAAGTTACTTTGCACATTTTTAAATATGTTTTGCATTTGTTCATTTTAGTGGACTAAAAATGGACATAACATCTGCAAAGACAGCAAAAATTATCGGAATTAACAGTCACACATCCATAACTGTAAGAAATATTGCTTCCGCGGTTGGTGTTGGAAGATAGAACATATCTCGAATTCTGTATGAAAATTATGAAAGTAGATCATTTTCTTCACAAAGAAAAGGAAAATGTGGAAGGAAAAGGAAAACAACTAAAAATCTGATCAACTCCTACTCCGAAACAACATTATTAATCCAACAAAAACTAGCAAAAACCTTAAAAGAGATTCATAGGCTGTTGGTATTGATATTCACATTCAAATGTATGGCTTCTCATTGCTGGTCAGAAAGTGAATAAACCAATTAAAAAAACAACTTTGCAGATGTCAAATGAAGCAAAAACAATTAATGTGGACCAAAAAAACAAATGTTGGACTATAATAATATTATTGCATGTACTGCAATTGCATATACAGTATTATAAGTTCAATATCCAGCCACTAATCATCTAAAATTCGGACCTCTGGATTGCCAGCAATCTTTATATATAAATCTATATTGTTTTATGCTTGCAGATTTGATATATTTTTTATAATGAAACATGTGGTGAGCCCTGTTTCTTAACTTCAATTCAGCATTGACACAACACTGGCAAATCATTATTTATTATTTTTAGCTTTCATCACTACATGAATATCAACTTACTTCAATTTGAGAAATAACTCACCCGGTAATGTCTAAACTCTTTTTTTTTATTAAATATTAGTAGATGAATATCAAAGAGCATGGTAACTTTTTGTTGACATTACACTTGACAATGATTATAGATCTCTGCTACGAAGTATTAAGTGCGCTGACGAGGAGAAATTTAACAGAAAATCTTTCCTCACATACAAAAAATAAGCTTTGTAAATGATACTCACAGGCTGAAAGATTACATTTAGCACTGTTTGAATTGAGTATAACTGATATGTTATTCAAATAAGCCAGTGTCAGAGCTTGCGCAGCCACACTGAGTGGCAGAATTTAGGGGAGGCAAAATTTTTAGAATTTACAGAAGCAACAAAATTAAAGCTTGGCAAAATCTTTATAATTTAGGCAAGTGTTTAGCAGAATTTCCTACCTGCAATGCAGGAATCTATTCATTCACGACTCAGATAAGCCTTAATGATGTACAGGAAACAGGTGTAAGCATAATAAATAATTTAAGCTTAATTTTATCAGTATACAAAATAAGCAAGAAAAAATTTAGCAGAACAGGTCTTTAGCCTCTAATCTCATGACACATCACCAACAGTTTATAGCAGACACTAGCTAAGCTTTATGACAATAACCTTGAATTTGTAGGCATCTAACTATTGCAAATAAAAAGCAAAATTTTCCAATAAATGGGAATTTTAAAGAAATGTGGAGAAATGATAATAAATTAAGACTTGTGCTAGAACATCATTCTTCAATGCAATCAACTCTCCTTACATCATAATATCAAATTCAAATACATGGCAATTGAGCAGTTGTATAAGCCAAGCTAGCATATTCAAATTTTCAGTGTCTTGTATACTCTTTTTTGCATTGTTCCTATGTTTTAGTTGTGTGTCTTTACATTTTTAAACTGCACTTTCTGCATAAAAAAAATTTATATATTTAAAAAAATTATTAGTACTTTTTAAAATATATTAAGTAACTTGTGTATTTTCCCCTTATTAAAGTATATTAAGTAACTTGTATTTTCCCCTTGATTTACAGATGTATATTTGTATGATTTCTTCCTTATTACAAGATATAGCAGTAAACAATAATGTATCAATTTTACATTTGGGGGGTAATGAATAGAATTAAGCACATATACATTTAAACAAATGCACACACATACATACCAAAAAAAAAAAGTTCCAAATAAGAAAGAAATAAGAAACATATGAAAACTTACTAGTTCAAAATGTTCTTCATCTCTCGTGGATTCTGTAATAAAAAAAGACACATTACCAAAGAACTAATCTTACAGACTAGAAATAAGTGTTAGGATATTAAGCGAACTGCATTTTTTAAATGAATTTATTCATGTGCCATATTTTGAATATGGCATGCATATTAAAAAGCTATCAATAAAAATAGACATTTCAAAATACTACTCAAAACACTAGAATTTTAACAACAGAAGGATAAACTTATTTACGTTACATATGGCATTATTTACGTTACATATGGCAAAACTCAAAAATTTCCTTGAAGCCAGCTTGTTCAATGTGATTTGAATCTGAGGAAAACTATTAATGTTTACTCGTTTATAGCTTGACCACCGATGGTTAATTCATACAAATGAAAAATTTCTATCTTAATTTTAAAAAGAATCAGTATTGGTATCCAACAGCCACATAACACTAGAATAGATTATTTAATTTAGAAGAAGCACAAATGTTTTCTGCTTAAGCTCCATCCCACTTTTTTCTAAAACACAAGTATGAAATGAAATTAAAAGACTTTATACTTCTTTTGCTCAACTACCAGTCTCTCGACAGAATTTTCATATAAAGAAATATCAAATGCTTCCACTTAACAAATGTCTATAAAAATGAGAGATAATGAAGTTTAAAAAAACATGACTACTATGCGTATAAAACAAGTTCCAAAAGCATGTTGTAAGTTTTCATTAAGTATCATATTTTATGCATTAGTTCTATAAACAACCAAAATTACCAAAAAATGACAGAACAAATTACGTATTTTAGTTTGTTGTTAAGTGTGTGCATTTCGCTAAAAACAAATATCCTTTGAAACTATTTTAACCCTCTGGCCTTCCATGGGGTTTTGCTAAAAAAGCCCATTCTTGATTTAATACCAAAATTGCCCTAGTACTTCATATCTGGATTTATGTACTTTTAATATATTGTCTTAATTTCTTGGGCATATTTCAAGATTCACGTACATATACTTTCCTTAAGATGTTCACAAAAAATATATTAAGCCATATATACAGAGTTGTACCCAAACAGGAGACTGAAATTCCCTGACTTTTCCAGGTGTGTACGAAGAAAATTCCAGTCTAGACACATAGTATATGTTGACTGTACTGAGAGTAAATTTATTAAAGTACCACTTTGAAGACACAAAAGTTTGCTAATTACATACGACTTTGATTAAAAAAAACTTAGTTTTGAATCCCCAAAGCATTACTATTATAACTATATTAGGAGTTGTTCTCCTATGTAAATTTAAATTAAGTTTTTGCCTAGCTAAAACAACCTGCTATACAATATATGCATACAAAACCAACATTCTCTTCAGCAATCAATTGTATCGCAAAATTATATAAGTCCAAATAAATTCCTTGTACTACTTTTTATGAAGTAAAGGAAGTATTGTAATCGAAAAAAAAATTGGGGGTATGTATTTCAATGAAAATATCCATTTTGACAGCTCTAGAGTCCATATCCATGATTTTTTTGCATGACAAGCAGAATAAAGTTTTTTTTTTTTTTTTCCCCCAAACGGATTGTAAAATGGACTTAAAATAGATTCAAAAGGGATTTTTCGTGACATCTGTATGTATGAACATATACTCCAAAAACTCAAAACTCAAAAAATGAATAGCCATAGAACATTCGAATTTTGAACATGGGAGTGCTATAACATCTAGTTGTGTATCTCCCTTTTTTGTTACAAATGGTCACACCAAGTCACCACCACGCATCCAGGAGTGTATACATAGAGAGAGATGTTTTAAGTTATTGTGTATGAATCAATTATCGAATGAGAAATATATCTCTAATGAAATTCGAGGAAATAAGTTTAAATGAAGTGCAACAAAAAAATTTAAATAATTTAATAGACTATACATGAAAGTCATATGGTACCCATATCACATTTTTAATTACATGAAAAGAGAATATATTATTAGAAGTGATTGTTAGTGAACCTAAAATATTTACAGACACTGACACTGAAATATATTTATAATAAAATGTCGGCACAAATATAATTAGTTAAAAGTGTAACTTAAAAATTAATTTCACCTGCATAAAAACATACATTTACCAAATAAATTACATACTTACAATTCATTTTATCTAAAGAATAAACAAATCAGAAATGAAATCCATTGATTTTTAATGTTCGGCATAAATTTTTAAACACCGGATTTTTTCCAACATTCATTGTGATAAAATTATGTTATAAATGACAGCTTCATTGTTTTAAAAAGTACTAAAAATAAATTCTGGAATGGAAGCTATTGCGTAAAAAATGGCAATGAAGAAGCAGTTATATAGTTCGACAGCCGTGGAAGGATGGGGATTTCTTTCCCTCCAGCATAGCTCTTTCCGGAGAAAAGACCTTTCACGCCACAGCAAGTATTACCACCCCTTTTGGACAAGTCTACGTGTTTTGGCAGAAAGCCAACCAGGGCTGCGCTTGAGACGGTCGAACTATATCTATCCTTGCTGAACAATAACTTCTGTAATATTACAACAGTTGCTAAATTCTGAAAAAAGCAGTTTTTTTTTTATGAAGTCAACAGACTTTTGGTGAAAAACTTTTAATATAAGCATATATATTACAAATTAAATGTAACTTTTGATTAGAATTGAAAACAAAGACATTTTGAATATTTAAACATAAGATTAATACAAAAATTAATAAAAAATTAACACAGAACTAGATTTGTCTTGATTCTGCAATTTGTGAGTTAAGAAAATCTCTGGTCAGTTTTTTTTTTTTTTTAAACCACTATCACACATCTTTTTGCCCTCAAGTGGTTGATGATATGCACCACAAGCAGATTTGGTATATCATAACGTATATCGAAAGTTACATAATTATTCATCACATCTCCATTTACTTCTGTAGCATCATAAACATTTCACATTGCTGTTAAAGAATTTTCCTGAAGGTTTTGCACCAACATATTTTTTAACCGAGATACCACTTTCTACTGTGACACTGCCATGCAATAAAATTAGAACTAGCTTTACAGCACTCTAATTTCTTCAAAATATGAATTATTAATCAAGTCCTTATTAAACAATATGTTGCATTGCAGCATAGTTAACAAAAATGTCTTTTCAAACACCCTTATTTCTCAATAACAATTCTTTAAACTGCACTTATGATTTATGTGCATATTATATATACATAACCTCTCCATCCTTTCCTCACACAAAAATTCATTATATGTAATCAGCTTAGGATTTAATGAAAAAATGTATTTGTTCAAACTATACATACTTAAACGGGTTTCTTTCAACTATTTCTGATGCAAGTTTAACCAAAAAGGTTCTGCACTGAGTTCTGAATTATCTTTTCTTTAGATCAGACACTACACTTTTAAATAAACTTGCACCCACATCAATATCTGCAACATTACAATAAATGGCTTGATCCAGGTTATATATTTTTATCAATTTTTCAGGAGTTCCTTTCACAGAAAATCTATTTTGAGAGAAGCTATTTAGCATGTGGTAAGTTGTGTGCAAGGGGGCACATAAGATCAGCTATCTGAAATGATTTTAAAAATGGATGTAGAACTCCTGCAAACAAAAATTTAAAAAAATTAAAAATAGGATTTTTGCCAAAAGAAGCTTTTCTTTAACAGCTTCTCACAGTCTTTCAAATGACACAGACTTTGACAGTTCGGATGTTTTCACATGAGGAAAAACATCAATAATTCTCTCAGTAACAGGTATGTTTTCACATCTTCACAAAATTTTAGCAGAAAAGTTGCACAATTAGTGGTGGCAATATAATCTGCTGTCGAGCAGAACTATTTTGCATGCATGTCTATCTATGCATTATGGCTTTAAATAATGCACTTAGATATTCCATTTGGCAACTCTATGCCCAGCTAAGGCACCATGAACAACATGCAACCTAAGGACCCAATACCTAATATATGAAAGTCATTATTATTTGCTAAACTTTCTTTCACATCTCTAAATAATTTAAGACTGGCATTTGGTCCATCCAAGTATACTTCAAGTAATTTCTTTTCATCTAGTTTTGAAGTTCCCTCAAAAAAAATTCTCAGCTGGTAATTAGCAATAGCATGCCCTCAAAAAATTGACATGCGGAATCTTGTTCTCACTTTATTCCTCTCATTGCCCCAAAATCTATCAAAAAAAATGTTCATTTCACCTCTTTGGACAAAACTTCATCAAAAGCTTTAAAGCTTCATCAAAGCATATTACGAATTCAGTGTTCTTAAGATCAGAAATGAACATCTTTTTTTAAGTATGGAGCTACGTGATAACACTAAATATGAAATTTTTGTGAGTCCTTGGGTCACAGCTTTCTTGCTGTTATTAAATAGTTTCAGGAATAGAAGAGTAGCATCATTAAACACATTAAAAGAAACATGAATGAGCAAGTTTCATAGCCCACAGTTATTCCACAGCTTACACTTTGCCTTTAGTTACAAAGGAGTTTAGATTTGATGATCAAACAACTGGTGCTGGCAATTGCTGTGCTTCAAAACTCTTTTTATCTGTACAGTTTTTTCCTAATTTTCTGAGTTCGTCTTCATAGAAATTATTTTCTTACGCTTTACACTGTTTATGTGGCTTGGGATTGTTTTCCTTCCCATGTTACTGAGCTTGATATTTTTTAGCAAACTGTGCATTTTGCCATGTTAACAGCTCCTCGAATAAGTTGTAGTCATCGATTCCACTAAGGATTTAGATTAGTCTGCCCAATCTTGACTAAAAAATGTCTTTTGCAGAGATTTCAGAGCTAAAGAAAAGAAAGAACATCTAGTTAAGAATATTTTTAAATAAATTCAAGTATTTTAATATATCTATATTTAACTGCATACATAAGTAAAAAATATGTGTACTAAATTTCGTGATGGTATGTCATCAGACTGATAGAATTAGTTTCACGAGTATGTTATAGAAAACTGCATGAAATCCAGAAGTATTATTAACTAATAATAAATAAACTTAGAAGGAAGCCACAACAAATGATATGAATGACATTAAAATAAAGTTATTTACTAAAAGACAAAAAAAAAATTAAAAGTTGAACTATAGTAATCAATGGTATTTTGCCAAATATAGATATTTTAAATGATAAGCGTGGATGACTGAAATTTCAAAGGGGAGATAGATTAACTATTTATTTTTACTAAATGAAATATGTAAAACAGGGGCGTAGAAAATATTATATTTAATGCATTTGTTTTTGAATTCGGCCACAAATTCCATTGCTATTTCTTAAAAAATAATGTTTTAAATACGGATTATCTAAAATTCAAAACAACAAAAAATCAAGTTCAGAACAAATAAATATTTGTTCCTTTACCATGCAAAGTATCCCATTTTCTTGCATAATTTTGATATATACACACTGCCAATGATACTGAAAAGCTTAACAGTTCAATTTGATTTTTTTAATAATGCACAATATGACTGATTCAAAAGGTATCAATAGAGTTTTTTAGACTTAAATGCATTGTGCAAAGTCTTATCATTTTAACAAGCAACTATGATAGAATGTTAAGTAAACATTCATTTAAAAAATTATTTAATAATACATAAAAGATTACAATGTAATGTTTCACTTACCAGATTTTTGAATTGGAGATAACAGAAAAACAAGCTCTTTAAACCAAGAGGCAGAACTTTCACTCAATATACACAGATTTCTTGGTCTTCACAAGAATATGTGAATCATGCTCTCTGGATTCTGCAGGTTACTGGAAACTCATGATTTTGGAAACTTGCTTTGCCTTTCTAAAAGACAATCTGATTGCTGTTACAGAAATTGGCTCTATGCCAGCTGCTGGAACGATGCTCATAGGCTACATAATTCAGTAAGAAAGTGATCTACGTCCAATGCTGATGAAAAATCGCTTTTGGGAGGACCACCATATGAAATTCACAGACTTTTCCTGATTTTTCAGGTAGCATGACAAAATTTGCGTATATATATATATAATTTATTATTAGAAAAGGTTTTTATATATCATCTTCAAGGAAACAAAATTTAATTAAATTTCATTTAAACTAATTAAACGAATTGACAAAAGTTAGAAAATATTTTAGTACTTTAAGTAGTATTTTAAGTCAATAGATTTCTATTGTAATAAAAAATTATTTAAAATCTGTATTGAAAAAAAAAATTAAACTGTCAAAATTCTAAATATTAATATTAAAATTTTAAGTACTGAAAAAGCAGTTAATATCACTGATCGCAGATTAACTGACTTGTCAAGGGGAACAAATATATATATCCTTGCAGCAACAGGATTAAATAGTCTCTTCCAAAATAATTAGTCATACAAATATCACCTTGACAGCTACAAGGTGTTTAACTTATAGAAAGAAAGCAAATCTAGAAGAGGAAACATTATAATACAAGAATAATTCAATTAAATGGTCAGAAAAAATTTTCTCACAGAAAAGAAGAACTCGTATATTTTACCTGAAGCAGAATTCAAATCTTCAATACATGCTAAAATAATGCAACGATACTGCTGGCTAATTTTTAATATCCTACAAGATGTAAAAAGACACAAAATTAATTATTTAATAACCTGTTATTTCATAATTCAATACTTATTTTATTTACCACATTTGCGAGCTTTGGATGGCAACAGATCAAGATATAGATAAGATTTCAACTGGCTCAAAGGTAACTTTGTTGACAATTCGGTTTATGTTCTGTCTTATAGATTCTAATTAGTCACTGTGAGTAAAATAAATGTAGTATAGCATTTCTACACAGCACATCTTTTAAAGATTCATAATACCATTCTATGGGAATTGGAATATTCTCGAATTTCTACAATGTTCCACAATTTTGAGAAGACCGAATAGCACTTTTTTTTTTTTTTTTTAAATATCAAATATTATTTGGAAAACAGCAAGTTTATTTGCTTGTTCCTCCCCCTGAGCACCAACTACAATATGTGGGTTAATCAAAAAAGGGGCAAAACGGTTTTGAATCCTCTATTCTAGTTGGTAAATTGACAAACTTTAAATTGCATCTGTCATGTCTTGAAATCTCAACTTTGTATATGTAAGTACGAAGTCCGAGATCCAGATATCCAATATCCAGAACGACCTAAAATCTGGACCTCAAAGCTACCAACAACCTTTCTTTTTTGTACGATTTATGCATGCACACTCAGCAGATTTGTATTCCCTCCCATAATAAAACATGCATCGAGTAATGATTCTTAATTTCACTTCGGCACTAAATAAAATACCTCAGAAAGTTATTTTAGCATAAATTTTTGTGATTAATAACTTGGCTCTGTAGCTGCATACCTGCTTGGCATACATCTCAAACCGAAACATTCTACATAGAAACATTGTTGATTTTACACCTACTAATATTTTATATTCCAGACGGCAACCTGGTGAATCATTATTCATTACATTTTGCTTTCATCACCACACGTTTATCAGCACATGACAACTTGAGTAATGACTCAAGCAGCAATGCCTAAACAATTTTTTTCCTATTAGTAACTGAATAACAAAGAGTATGGTTATGTTGACATTATGCTTGGCGATAATTAAAGTTAAATGCGGAACGAAATGTTGACGAGGAAAAATTTAACAAAAATTTCTTTCCATATGCTAAAAATAAATTTTGTTCATGATACTCATAGGCCAAAAGATTACATTTAGTGCTATTTAAAGTAAGAATAACTGATTTTTCATTCACATAAAACGTGAATCAGCATCAGAGCTCATATGGCCGAATTTAATGAAGACAAAATTTTGAGAATTTTGAGAAGCACCAAGCAACAAAATTAAGGGATGACAAAATTTTTACAATAAAGAGAAAGCACTGGAACCCAAAATTTAGAACTTAGGGAGGCACTATATCCGAAGTTAGGACTTGCATAGACTGCATTAGGCAGTAAGATATCCAGTGCCTGCCCTCAATAAGTAGTATATGTATATGTGGAATTTTATTTATTCAGGACACAGATAAGCCTTAAGCATGTGCAAGAAAGAGATGCAAGTATAATAAATATTTAATATAATTCAAGCTTAATTGTCTCACTGCACGATATAAGCAAGACAAAATTTAGCAGAACAACTAGTCTTCTGTTGCCAATCTCATGATGCATAGCCAATAATGTATAGCGGACGCTATTAAGCTAGGCTAAAATTACACTTTATCAATTCCAGGGAATAGCAGATTTGTATAGCAGATAGTCCTTAACTTTCTAAATTGATCCAGCTCATTTTTTGCAGGCTGTTATTATAACAGCAATTTGAAAATTAGAGTTTGAACTTTCAATTATGTCGAAATAATTCTGGAGCTGCAAAAGGATCTACAAAGCGAAAAAATGTTTTGATGTCCATTACACAAAAAGTGGAATTGCCGCAAAAAATGGATAATGCTGTATCTGTCTCAAAATCTCGAGGAGTATGGCATTGGAAAATTAATTGCATACGACATATGAAAACAGAAAAAGGAACTTTTTGAAATTTTTGTGGATTCCGACACCTTACTCACAATGAAATCGGGAAAAATTTAACAAATTAAATTGAAAAATCATTCGTTATGCAAAAGGTGATGATTGAATGGGTTAGGTAGCATCGCAGTGAGGGCATGCCATTGACGGGTCCAATGCTAATAGCTTAAGCCAAATTATTTCATGAAGAAGTGAACTTAAAAAATGAATGCACATATTCAACAGGTTGGTTAACCAAATTTAAGAATCGCCAAGGTAAAAGGCAATTACAAATTTCAGGCGAAAAAGCTTCAGCTGATGCTGAACTATTTGCAGATGAATTCATTTAACTCATTAATAGTGAAAAGTTATCTCCAGAAAAAATTTACGACCCTGAAAAAAACTGGTCTTTTTTGGCCATGAACTGCTACCCCGAAATAACTTAGCAACCTCAGATACCTTAAAAAATACTTGGCATAATTTATGGCCAACTGCCATATTTCATGGTAGGATGATGAAGGTGATAGCCGCGAATTTGAAGTTTTTCGGATATTGCAAATTCAAACTGAAATTTTCCAATTAATGGATTTCGTAAAGAAATGTGGAGAAGTGGTAATAAATGAAGATATCACAGAAATTTTTTATTGCAATGACAATACCACAATCACGAATCAATTAACAGATGGCAAAATCTGTAGTATTGTATTGTTCTAAACCGAGAAATACCACTACTGATAGTGAAGTAGCAGAAAGGTTTTTGGAAACAAAAAAATTTCAATTGGCAACTTAGTGGAAATTCTCGACACAGCAATTACAGGACTTTAACAATGAAACCTTGTAAATAAACAAGAAATTATGTCTGTCTATAGAATTACAGAGGAAATATTAGCCCAAAAAACAAAGCAACTTACATTGAAAGAAATGTTTAAAAAGTAAACATATTAAGCATTTTTTTTTTTTTTTTTTTTTTTTTTTTTTTGTAAATTTTGATATTCTTTAGATCATAAATGCTTCATTATTTCATAAATAACAATTTCATATTTTTAATTTTTATAATTTCTACATGCCATCTTATTAGATTTAAACTGATGATCTATAATATCCAGAAAAATCCCAAATCCAGAATTTCCGAAGTCCTAGCGAGTCTAGATCTCATTATTTATTACATTGTTCTATTATGACACTATTTCTATTTTGACACAAAATCAAACTTTTTCTGAAACACCATGTCAATTTTTTTATTCCTGTAAGTAAATTCTATGCCTCAAATTGTGCATAAATACCAAATTTTACAAAAATCACACAAGCAGTTTCAAAGATTGATTTGAAATTTGACATTAATTTTAACCCTTGTGAATATTTCTTATCTATTTACTATATTTATTCTTATCTTTTTCCCCATCATTTTTAATGTCAAGTTCTAAATTTTTTTTAATAATCACATAATTTTCCCTTCCTTCAAGGCATTTAGAAAATAAGCTCCAATAAATTTTAAAATAGATTTGCCTATACAGAAATTGTTTTCATCTTACTAAGGGGTTGATCAACCTTTTTTTGCCCTATACATCCCTTTCACCTTTGCTAGATGATCATCCCCCTTTTCCAAAATTCAAAAAATACATATACATTTTTTTGATTATTTTTGCTGATTATTCCTAATGTATTTTATAAATTAAACAAAATGTAAAGACAATGTTGATAAATACCAAAATTTGAATAAAAGTATTTTTTAATATATATATATTCATCAACTAAAATACTTAACAGGTAAATATAAGGCTGAAAACATTCTCTCCTATAGAGAAACCCCCCCCCAGTTGACTGCCTTTTGTACAGAGTGATTTGTTCATGGACTTTGTTTGCATGGACAATTACAGTGATGATGCAATTACAATGAACAGCTTCAAGAAAACAGAGATATCTAATGCACTTGATGGTTCTGAAAATAATTGCACGATGGAAGAGACTGAACGGTGATGAAGAATATCACAACAGTGGCAATGGTGACAATTTGCAGACTGTATCAGCAGACTAGGAAAACAGCAGTTCCAGCAGCACTGAGTGATTTGAGGTTAAGGGAGTAGCAGAGGATAATAATAAAATCAGGCAAGATAGAAGGAATGAAGATATCTTATTAGGTATTGTAATATTAATATTATTATGTATTATAATTGGAATGTATTAGTTTCTTTCAAATAAACAGTATTTTGATAGTTACCGACTTTTTATGCACTTTCTATTTGTTATGTAACTGTAACCACTTCTTTCAGAAACTAAATTAGTCACAAAATTTTCACCTGTTGATTTTCATATGATATAATTATTAAAAAGGGGAGAACGGACAAGCAAACAGTGTATATAATTTATAAATGACCATATGTGATGACTTCAATGAATGACCATGTGCTTAACTGTGAACTTCAAACCTCAGATTATTTATTGTGAATTTTAAATTAAAATTTTTACACTTTTCAAAAACATTAAAATTTTTAAACCATATATTTTTAAAAACAGTTAAGATACTAATTCAGAAGTCAAACAACAAAAATCAGCGTTATATTTACAAAATTTTCACAGGACTAGTTTCGATGGTTTTACCGAACCACCATCCTCAGCTGCAAAACCGCAAATGAACAAGATAGGAAATAATGATTAGATAAGATAAGATAAAGCCTGGGCAAGAATAAGCAAGTGGCACCATCTGTTGGTGAAACCAGAACTAAAACATAATTTCTTTAAATGCCGAAGGCAAATTTGGATTGGAATTAGGATCGTTAACTAGGGACAGAAAGATTTTTATGAATGTGAAATGCCTCTAGAAAATCCAGTTGTTCAATGGAAGATGTTTTTTGAATAATTTTGGCAGCAGAAAAATTGAAAATGTGATTTTCGGACCAACAATGTTGAGCAACAGAAGAGTTCTGTGTTTCCTTTTTTCTAACAAATGCCTCATGTTCCTTGTTACAGTTAAGATGCCAAAAAGATATTTAGAAAAATTTCTACAAGAGAAAAAAATGAATTTCTAAAATTTCATTCATTTACAAACAAAATCTGATACTTGAGATTGTCAGTCATTAAAAATTTTAAATATGGATTTAATATACGATTAAAATTTATCAATAGGCATGAAAAAAACATATGCATGATTAATATATCAAAATATTAGAAAAATATGTATTATTATTAAAGCTAAATTAAAAGAAGCATGTAGAAAGAGGCTTCATATACATACAGTGCCATAAAATTTTATCATTACTTTTAGATTTAATATTGAATGCTGACAATATGCAAAAAACTGTAATTAGGAATTTTGCTATCCATTAAGATTTTTACTTAGGGTAATTGCTTAAAACTAACTAGAAATAACTGCTTGAAATTTTAAAATATATTTCATTTCTCAAACTTATGGTACAAAAATTCACTTGTTGCTTAATTTTTTCCAGAAAAACAGATAAATTAGTCTTTTAAAGTATTCACATTCTTATACTAATATCAGTGCACTTTTATATTACCAAAGCTCAACGCCAGTGATAAGATTTTTGGCACACACCAGACAGTTTGAAAAAGCTTTTCGGTAGTTTGAAATTATTACTGTCTTTTCATACTAATACAGATTTTGTGACTATCTTCAAGCAAAATTATATTTCAAACAAATCTATTGCTTCAAATTTGTGAAACTTCTTAATTTTTTATGTCTAAGATAATCACACATAAAATTTTCATTTGCCAATCATACAAGATTTACAAGCTAATTTGTAAAGGATTTTTTATAATTTATAAATTGACTTCTGATTATGATTTCCAAACTTATTGCACTGCTTGCAACATCAATACTTTAAACAAAAGCACCTTAAACAGAATCAATAAATAATTAGATAATGTTAATTATATAATGCCATAAAATTTACCCCTGTGAAATCAACTAACTGAAGGAGTTTTAAATTTAGATTAATTGTGAAGATTATCACAACAATGGCAATGGTAACAAGAAGCTAATTCTTTGATCATATATCTTGACATCGACTTCAATACATGTATGGCTTTTCTATTATCATCATTCAATAAATTTTTGAAAGATTAACAATTTTATATTAAATCCTTATTATGTGTTTTTAAAAGTACTATGTAAGAAAAAAATTATCACTGCATATTTGTAGTTATTCAAAACATCCAGGTAGCAAAATGCACGCATGCTAAAAGCACATAAAATGTTAATGCTAAGTTATTTATGCTGATTTATCATGACCATTGTATTAAAAATTAGTACGTCACTTGCCTTCAACTCATTTCAATAGCAGAACTAAATTCATTTAAGTTTTCATTAGTAATATATTTTTCCTTGATTTCAAATACATTCTTGCAGTTTTAATCTACTCTGTATTCTAATAAATTTTTTTCAAATTTCCAAGTAAACAAGGTTGTAAAACAAGTTTAATAGTTATACTTTATATTGTAGTTTCCTGTTGACAACATTTATTCTGATACGAGCATGGTGCCAAAAATCGTCAAAGGAAACACAAGTTTAAAATTTTTAAACTAATGTAATATCTAAAACAATGGGAGGTAACACTGCACAAATAAATTCTAAATCTAAAAGAATGAGGATAGCCTTACTTGAGCAACATGGAGCCAGAATAGCTTAACCAAGATGTCGAAAAAAACTTTATTCTGTCAATTTATCAGAAACAATGGCTAAGAATTACTTTGTCAAGAATTTGATACCGAGAAAGTCCTTTGTTTCAACTCAAACCTGAGCAAACTACTAAGACAACTACTACACCAGAACCACCATAGAAAGTACACAAGAATTTCAGACCTGCTTTGAACTAAACTGAAAAAGACATCTTAAGAGAAGAATCATTTCTTCACAATGAAATAGTGAACTAACACGAGAAAAAATAATTCAATTTATTGACGAAAATCTGCCTGAATATTACTTACACTTGTTGAATATCAAACATTCATTTTTAATGCTCTTTTGTTTTTACACAGGAGGATCTACATATTATAGGGTACAAAGGGTATATCCTACACATAGATATACAAGAGGGTCTATCTATTAATAAAAATACCTTTACTCTACAATTTAATAAAATAATTTTCTATGTGAAATAAGTACATCTGGGAAGTGTAAAGGCACATTATGTAGAATTTACTAAGAAACAAACTGTAGAGTGATTTATACACATATAAAAATATATGCTAATATTGTCAGGAAACAACAGACAAATTATTATGATAAGTCAATCTAGCCTTGGCATGTGATGAGGTATTCACTTTACACATATTTAATAATAATCTATACTATTTGAATATTATATAGCAGCATTCATAAGCTTTTAAAAGTAAAAAAATTACGTCATGTCTAAGTGAATAGTCATTTTATAATCAAAAGTACATACTCTGTGCTCTTCCTTCCATCTTGAAAAGTTTGAGCTCTTGTATTTAAAGATAAAAATACACCTAAAAAATTTTCAAAAATGTTAGTATAAAATGAACATAAACATTAGCTTTAGGAACAACCAAAAACTTTCAAAGTATATGAAAGCATATAAGAAAATATAATTATATCTTCAGCATTTTATACGCCATTCATTCTGATTAATTACACTGAATTAAATCATAACATTCTGGCCTTATAAGTATCTAATACAGTAAATCAGGCCTTCAGTGGATGGTTCCAACCCCAGAATTTAAAAGCAAGTCACCACTTACTTATTTAAAGGAAATATGCACTAATGAACAGCAAAGTACGTATTTAATAGAATAGTTCCTTTTCCCTTTTTAAAGTCTTTTAATTTACTCTTCCAAACTCATAAACAAGATCCATTCAAGAAATCCCTAAACTTTAACAACAAGATGCTAACATTTCACATCTATGCATGTACAGTTGTTGGATTTCAGATAACTAGTTTGTATTTTATGTGCACTTTCATTTAATTTTATTTACTTCAGTTTCCTGTTAAGATCCTTCTTTCAAATTTCTACGTTGATAATTTAGTAACGAGCTTAAATAAAACTGATGTACTACCCTTCAATGAGATTTCTCGAGTCATACAGTGTGAAGGAAAATTCAATTTGAGAGGCTGGCAGCATACTGACTATAATAATCTTTAACCATTTACTTCTATGTTAGGACTTTTGTGGGATAAAAAGAAACATATACTGATGACAAATCTGGACTAATTAGACAGCTGTAAATATGAAACTTTGTCCAAAAGAATAATTCTTTCAGACATCCATAAGAGATTCGATCCTGTTGGTTTATTATGTCTTGTTTTGCTGATTCCCAAATAGTTGTTGCAAAGGATGTGGAAAGAAAATGTACCATTGGATTCTGAAGTCGGCACTAATACAAAAAAGGAATAAAAGAATTTATGAGCTGATTTTTAGAGCTTCATTTGTTGAAGAAAGTGACTGTATCACAGCATTTTTTGACTGATCCAAGCACACAAAACATATCTCTGCATGTTTTGTAACACTAGTCATTCAGCCTTCATAACACCAGTTTTCATTTGTATGAAATCTGTGAGAATGTCCAAGATCATCTCCTAGCTGCCAAAGCTAGAGGGGCTTTTGCAAAACCCATCCCTCAGTTGGAGCTGATGGCTATTATGGTGGCAGCTCAGTTGTGTACATCTATTGTAGATGGGCTTCAATGGAAAGATGTTGAACAACATTATTGGATTGATTCCCCAACTATTTTAGGGTGGATTCAGTGTAAAAAATCGTGGAATAGTTTAATGGAACCCTTTGCATGGAAACACCTTCCTCGAATCCAGTTGATTTGCCTTTGCAGGGATGTTCTGCTAGATCACTTATCAAGTAAATGGTGGAAGGGACCCATTTGATTATTAAAACCTTCATCTAACCAGCTTATCACAGAAAAAATTTTGATGAATATTTCATAGCCAAGGAAAAGAGAAAAACAAAATCTGATGGGCATTCTTCCATCTGTTCATTAAGTTTCTCAAATACTTGTAGCTGCTAAATTGATGAAAAGAAAAATAATGAATACAGGCATTATGGATCAAGTTGGTATTATTGTTTTTCAAGCTATGATAAAGTGATATGGTTGATTGCTTGGATAAGAAGATTTATTTTTAATTGTCTAAATGCAAAGTCTTTATGAATTATGGGAGAGTTATTCTACGAAGAAATCAAAAATGCAGAAGAGAAGGTCATATTGTTAATACAAAACAAATATTTTTCTAATCATTTAAACAAAAACAAAATTAGAATCCTTGACAACATAAAAGGACATAGAAGGAATTATTAGAGTGAAAACAAAAATTACATTTTGGAACGATACAGAGAACTTTAGACATCAAGTTGTTTTATAGGAACAGCATCAGACTATCAAAGGGTTAATTATGACAGAACACCAATTCTCAAATGTTATTGGGTATTCCAAGCAAACATTATTGGATTTTAAATGCGAAGTCATAAGATCTCTTTTATCCAAATGTGTTATTTATTAAACTGTGTGTTACTTATCTTTATCCAAACGTGTTACTTATCCAAATGTGTTACTTGTTAAATATGCAAACTAAAATTTAACAGCACCAATTTCTGCATTACCAGAAAATTGAATAAGGGATGCATCTATTTTTTAAAATTATTGTAATTGATATGGTTGCACCTGTGTATTTAAAAGGAGAAGCAAAGACTTGCATTTGCGTATACATGTGCTGTGTATAGAGCTGCGCATTTTGAGCTTATTTCCTCACTGTCTACAGAGGGCTTTCTTCAGAATTTCCGGCAATTTATAGGCCACAGAAGTCAACCTTCTGTAGTTTATTGTGACAATGGAAACAACTTTGTTGGAGAATAAAATTCATTGAAACTTGTTGTTTGGAATACCATTGCTCAATACATCACCACTAGGAAAATTCAGTGGTTTTTCAATCTCTCAGCGGCTTCTTGATGGGGCAGTTTGGGGGAGTGATTAGTTTGTGTGATGAAGCAAATTCCTGGAAAAGTTTGGAAAAATATCTGTCTTTTGAAGAATAACAACAGTATTGTGTGTGTGAAGGAAATACTCCAACAATTACCCTCCAACTAATGGAATTTGTGATAGACTCTCGTCCACTTACCTATGTTTCAGAAAAAGATTCTGAACTTATTTTGTCTCCCAACTTGTTTTTACAAGATTTTCAAAAATCAGGATTCCTGATTTGGATGAGACTGATGAGCATTCCCTCAAAAGAGATTAAAATATCATCAACCATTAATCACTGATATACGAAAAAATTAAGATCTCGATATTTAGGACTCTTAATACAAATGCATGAAAACTTGAAGATGTAGTTCTTATTGGAAGTGACAATGTTAAATCTACTAAGTAGCCATTGTTACTGAATTATTACCTGGAAAAGACAATGCTATTAGACTGCTATGATTGAGAACTATAAATGGACAACTTTCACACCCCGTACAAAGAACTTTTTATTAGAAGTTTCATGCAAATGGTTTGAAGATCTAAAAAATGATAAAGGTGAAAAAGTTAGAATTGAAGGGAAAATAACTAAAAAGATGTAAAATCTGTGAAAAATCGGGAATGGAAGAGAAGTCAGGCCTATCCTAAGATTTATTATGAATATCTGAACTATAATTTAGTTATTTTTCTTTTAATTTTAAAATCCTGTGCTTATTTTCGAAAGTTTTAATCTTTAAAATTTCTAGTAGGTTTTTCTCAACAACTTAAGGTGAGAGAATGTTGGATTTCAAATGACATGTAGTTTGTATTTTATCTGTACTTTCATTTAATTTTATTTACTTAATGTTTTCTGACCACTAATAATTATTGCTAGCTTTGTTTCTTGGAAGTGTCAACAGAACATATAGATTTATCAAATATATTGTGTGTTTAGTAGATGTCTTAACAGAATGTTTTGTTATTTACATGATTGATTTATTTAAGATTCAAACCTATTTTTAAAAACAAATTAATACTTTAGAATATGTTTATTAGTCTCTGGAGTCTGATAGGCTGGTAGCATACATGTGAACAATTGTACAACAAACAAAAACCCCACTGATCTTTCTTCTGTGCTCATGGTCACTCCTTACTGGTAATATGTTTATGCATTGCTGGCAACAAATTTCCAAATGTATGCAAGCTTGTGCAAGCGCTACATGCATTCAAATGAACTTATTCGGAAATATGTTGCTTAGTGTACACAGGCCTTCATAAAGTTTCATCCATTACCATCAGCTAATCTAAGCAGGAAATGCAAGTATGCCAAGTCAGCATTTGTTTGCCATATAGCTTTTCTTTGTGAGCATTGTTCACATTGTTGTTTTCTGCCTGTTTTTAAGTATGAACATAGAATTTTCAGACAGCTTATATATAATGCTCAGAAAATATGTGGATTAATATTGTTTCTGGACACCTGGCAAAAATGGCACATTGCCAATGCACAACTAGGATATTCTTTCTCTTCGGTATAAGTTTTATTTTTTTAATGCAAATAAACTCAGCAACTACTTTTTTTATAAAACTATGCCCCCTTTTGTATGGCAATGATTTTATAAGAGATTTGTTGCACATGGTCCAGTGTTAATGGAATAACAAATTAGTGTAATAGCCATGATGGTTACGGTTGTTCTTTACTTTATTTCAATTTACTGCACTGCCCCAAAATGATGACATCAACCTGCAGTAATAGTGATCAATGGCCTTAATAGTAAGTAATCTTTCATTTTAATTCATAGCGCTTATGAATATTTGCAACGCAAATTTTATTAATAAAACATATTTTGGTACTATTCTGTTTTGAGGACCGTAAAAAAAATTGCAGCAAAAATGTATGCGCAAAAGTGGCAAATCTAGTAAATGCGCCCATTTAAAACAGCTCGCCAAATCTAGCATACGCAGTAATTTCAGATTGCGTAAGTTTATATAAATTTATATAGTTCTATATTTCTTAAGATGCCATTGATATACTAGTTTAATTTTTAAATCCTCTTTTGATATCCTATGGATTTAACAATTTGGGAATCGCCCGTGATGAAAAGTCTGCAATAGAATTTTGAGTAAAGTGCAGAATCACCCTCTGCTTGACGCGTTTTTAAGAATTGCACATACTCGGTATCCATGTACACATCAACCTATTTTCACTTCAAAAAAAAATCCCAGAATTGCATAAAATATAAAAATGGCAATTGCGCACTCCTTAGACTTTTATCTATGTACACATCGACCTATTTTCCCTTAAAAAGTAAAAGAAAATTGACAAAAATCAAATTGTTTTTACCCTTGTAAAAAGCGGCAAACAAAAAAGTGGGCGATTCTGCACCTTACCGAGAATTTTTTCATAGAAAAGGCATTATTCATTATAGAAAATTATGTTTGAACAACCAACGAGATGAAATTATGCTTTAACGATAATTCAGTAGCGAAATAGCGATGCAGGCATCCATTCAGTTATGTTTAGCAATTTTTACATAAATTATAATAA